TTTTCTCTCCAGTCGTGAAACTGTCTACAATCAGACTGGTGTTGAAAATTGTAGATGCAGAAAATTTACATCTTGAGCAGTTAGATGTAAAGACAGCTTTCCTTCATGGTGATTTGGAGGAAGAAATCTATATGAGGCAGCCAGAAGGCTTCATAGAGGCAGGCAAGAAAAACCTGGTATGCAGGTTGAAGAAGAGCTTGTATGGTTTAAAACAAGCTCCTAGACAGTGGTACAAGAAGTTCGATAGTTTCATGGGTAGTAGTGGTTTTACCAGATGCCAAGCAGATCATTGTTGTTACATCAAGAGGTTCGACAACAGCTTCATTATTTTATTATTGTACGTTGATGACATGCTCGTTGCAGGCTCAAACATGCAAGAGATTATACACTTAAAGCAAAATTGTCGAAGCAGTTTGCTATGAAGGATCTGGGCGCTGCAAAGCAGATTCTTGGGATGAGGATCAAGAGAGACACAAAGTCGGGGACTTTGATGTTATCACAGGCTGAGTACATCTACAAAGTACTCTCCAGGTTCAACATGCAAGATGCTAAACCAGTAAATACACCTTTAGGTGTTCATTTCAGACTCTCCAAAGAACAGTCACCAAAGACGGAGGAAGAACGTGCACACATGGTGAAGGTGCCGTATGCCTCAGCAATTGGAAGTCTGATGTATGCCATGGTTTGTACCAGACCAGATATTGCTCAAGTAGTGGGAGCTGTTAGCAGGTACATGAATAATCCAGGCAAAATACACTGGGAAGCAGTCAAATGGATCCTCAGATATCTGCGAGGTACCACAAACAAAGCACTTTGTTTCAAAGGTGGAGATACGATACTGACAGGCTATGTAGATGCTGACTTAGCCGGAAATGTTGACATCAGAAGAAGCACTACAGGGTATGTCTATACTCTAGGAGGAACCGCAGTGAGTTGGGTTTCTCAACTACAGAAGATAGTTGCTCTCTCCACAACCGAAGCAGAATATGTCGCTGTTACGGAAGCCAGCAAAGAGATGGTCTGGCTCCAAAGTTTCTTGAATGAGTTAGGCAAGAAACAAGAAAACAATGTCTTGTATTGCGACAGTCAAAGTGCTATCCATCTAGCGAAGAATCCGTCTTTTCATTCCAGGACGAAGCACATACAATTGCGATATCATTTTATCCGGTCTCTTCTGGAAGATGGGATTTTGAAACTTGAAAAGATCAGTGGAGCTCAAAATCCAGCAGACATGTTAACAAAGACGGTAACTACGGACAAACTGAAGTTGTGTTCAGCTTCAGTTGGCATGCTAGAATAAAAGACCAGAAATACTGCTGCATCGATCGAGGTGTGAAGACAGATTGAAATCAGTCTTCAAGTGGGAGATTGTTGAAAATTAAAGAACAAGTTGGGCTGCTAAGTAGCAGCCGGCTGCTAAAACAAATTGGGGAGGGGGGCTGCCCAAAATATTTTTATTTTTAATTACAATATTAGTCCCTAAGTTTTAACTATAAATACCCTAGCTCATTTAGCTTCAAAATCATCCCAAAATCTTCTAGTTCTCTCTCAAGTGTGTTGTGTAAACACCTGTAAATTTTCTCTTAGTAAAAGATCTGCAGCAGTCCGGAGACGTAAGCATAAATTGGCTGAACTCCGTTATCAAATTTCGGGTATTATTTTTCCGCTTTTATTTCGCATTCTCACTAATCTGGTTATAGGGAAATTACTTGTACTTGGTTTATTTCCTAACAAAAGATGATTGGCAAAGCGCTGGAAGTCTTCGAAAACATGAAAAGATGCAGTTTTGAACCTGACACAACGACTTATACGACGATGGTGCGTGCTCTTTGCAATGCTGAAAAAGGTGACTTAGCATTAGAGTTTTACAAGGAGATGGTTGAGAAGGAAATGAGCCTTGATTCAAATTCATACAAGATGCTGCTGAATTGCGTAGCGAAATCAGGGGATACCGATTTGGTTCATTTGGTTGCAGATAACATGATGAGGGTCTCTGAGATTCCAGAACAAGAAGTTTATGGCTATGTGTTGAAGAGTTTCTGTATTTCTGGAAGAATCAAGGAAGCTTTAGAATTTATTCGGGACCTTAGGAAGAAAGATTTGTCTTTAGACCCCCTTTATTTTGAGATTCTGATCAAAGGATTGTGCAGAGCTGATAGGATTGCTGATGCCATGGAGATTGTTGATATTATGAAGAGAAGACAACTGATTACCGAGAAGGTTTATGAGATTATCATCAATGGGTATTTGAGAAGAAATGATTTCTCTAAGGCATTTGATCTTTTCGAAAACATGAAGGAATCCGGGTTCTTGCCAACGGCTTCTACTTACACCGATCTAATGCAATGCCTCTTTAGATCGAAGGAGTATAAGAAAGGCTGTGATTTATACAATGAGATGCTGGAGAAAGGTGTCGAGCCTGATACAGTTGCTATTATGGCCATGGTTGTGGGTCATGTTGGCCAAAACCGTATATCCGAAGCTTGGAAAGTGTTCAATTCGATGGAGGATAGGGGGATTAGACCCACTTGGAAAGCATATTCAGTATTCATTAAGGAGCTTGGTAAAGTAGCAAAGACAGATGAAATTTTTCGGGTTTTATGCAAAATGCAGGAGGAAATTGTAGTCATTCGAGATGATGATATATTTCGATGGATTATATCTAGCATGGAGAGAAATAGAGAGACAGATATTGTTGAAAAATTGAAGCAGATGCAGAGAATTAGTAAAATTCATTCTCAGGCCGATGAGGTAAGCAATAACGGCTTCAACAAGGATTGGTTCATTGTTGAAGAAGGTTTGGAGAGATGCAACATTAATTTCACACCAGAACTTGTTGTGGAAATACTGTGAAAGAGCAGTTTGCATGGTAAAAATGCTTTAAGTTTCTTTTCATGGGCAGGAAAGCAAGCCGGTTATCAGCACACTTCAGAAACTTACAACATGGCTATCAAAATCACCGGATGCGGGAAAGATTTCAAGAGCATGAGAAGGCTCTTCCATGAAATGAAAAGGAGGGGATGTTTAGTATCGGGTGCGTGGGAATTCATGATAATGCAATATGGTCGAACTGGTCTAACCAAAATTGCGTTGAGGACTTTTACTGAGATGAAATCCGATGGTTTTAATCCAACCGCTAGTACCTACAAGTACTTGCTCATATCACTCTGCGGGAGAAAAGGTAGGAATGTAGATGAAGCCGTTCAAATCTTCCAAGAAATGATCCATTCTGGATTTATCCCCGACAAAGAGTTACTTGAAACTTATATTGGTTGTTTATTTGAAGTTAACAAGCTAACAGAAGCCAGAAGCTGTGTGGAATCTCTCAGCAAGATCGGATTTTCGGCTCCACTAAGTTATTCCTTGTATATTAGGGCACTTTGTCGAGCAGAGAGACTCGAAGAAGCTTTAGAAATATTAGATAATGCCGGGACAGAACAATCCCCATTGGATCAGTATGTTTATGGAAGCCTTGTCCATGCATTACTACGAAAGGGTCGATTCGAACAAGCACTGGCTAAGGTGAATTCCCTGAAGCAGGCCAACATTCATCCGACCGTCCATGTTTATACATCCTTGATAGTTCATTTCTTCAAGGAGAAGCAAATTGGGAGTCCATGGGTGATTTTGGCAAAAATGGAAAAGGAAGGTTGTCTGCCGACTGTCGTCACTTATTCCACAATGATTCACAGCTACATGGACACGGGAAAGGTTGCCGATGCTTGGAACATCGTCCGTCATATGAAGATGAACGGACTGAAGCCTGATTTCAAGACTTACTCAACTTTCATTAGCTGTCTTTGTAAAGTAGGTAGGTCCGAGGAAGCCATGCAGCTTTTATCTGAAATGCGAAACTCAGGGATCGTTCCTAGTACCGTCAATTTCCGGACTGTTTTTTACGGTCTTAACAGAGAAGGTAAGCATTCTTTAGCTCAAACTGTACTACATCAAAAATATTCTCTAAGAATTGAACGCATGCTTTCACCATGATTTAAATTATTTCATTGTTTCAATTCATATTTTGTTGAATACCATTCACTTGAAAGATGATTAGAGCATGAAATCCATTGGTTTGCATATAGATGTTTGAACTTCCAGGATAATTGAACCACTTAGATTTAAACACGATTATAAAACGAGAAAATATTCGAACATAGTCCGAATACACGAAAATAAAGTGCCCTCCTTAACAGGAGGATACCATTTCCTGGGATTCCCCTGCACAATGTAACCTCACTAATGGCTGCCTCTTGGTATGTGGCCCTCATAAGACTTTCCCAAGCTCCCCATTAATGGCTGCCTATGCATCATAATTGTAGAGATCCGAACGACACCGAATTGAGAGTAGAGAGGTATCGCTCATTTCGATTCAGTAAAATTTCGGGTTTTATAGGTTATATAGATATGTATATGCTTGAAGAGGCTGAAGTCACGGTCTAATATTTAATATCATGCAATCTTGTTGCATGGATTTTCATTTTCAATCTGCACATGCATGCAGCAACATACTTCATCTTATCTTTTAGGTTAGCTAGATCTCGGTTCGCTCGATTTGAATTTTATTTAAAAACTTGATTTTTATTTGAGATAAAAAGAAAACTATTCGATTATAAGATGATTTTTATTTTCATTTCCTATTTCATATCGATTCAATTATTTATGTAGAACTCGAACTACAATAATTTATTTTCGTTCTTAATTTTTCATGCAATTTAAAAAAAATATTATCGGATGTTAAAAAATATTTAAAACTTTTGTTTTAATGAGGATGATAATTAGCAGCAAATTGGCTGTTTCTGACTGATTTTAGCTTTGATTAGCTGGCCCTATTCCTATATGTAATGGGATAAAGGGAGGTAGGGTAGTAGGCTGCCCCTAACGTCAGGTTGAGAGCAGCTTCCGTGGAAGACCTCTAATTATGAATTGCTCACCGTGAGACTCGATTCCACGATCACAAGATTAAGAGCCTTGCGCTCTACCAACTGAGCTCACCGTAGAACCTAAATTGATGCAATAACAACCTGTTGGTTAATCCGTGCTCCCCCGTAGGCAACAACCACTTTGACACCGGTTTGATACGAGAACTTCTTGGCCTCATCGTGTATCTGAAAGTGCATTATCATCATAACAAATCCACATTAAACCATTCAAAGAGATTACATGTTTACAAGAATCTCACCTGACATGAAAGCTCCCTTGTGGGAGATAGAATGAGACCGAGGGGGTAAACAGTTCGTCCCCCTCGAGCTCTCTGTCCGTACTGCTCTCGCATAATCCCACTGATAATAGGAAAGCAAAATGCAGCTGTCTTCCCTGACCCGGTTTGAGCACAAGCCATCAAATCTCTTCCGCCCAATGCGATAGGAATTGCATATCGCTGAACCGGTGTCGGTTTCGCATACTTACACCTCCTGATGTTTTGGTTCATCATTTCACCTAAATCTATCTCCGCAAACGTATTTACCGGCGGCGGAACATTCTCGCCGCTAATCTCCACCGGAATATCTTCGTATGCATCGAAATTGATCACGGTGTTCTCGTGTTCACTAAAACCTTGTTTCATATCATCTACTTTATCATCATTAACAAATGGGTTTACTTCCCTTTTTCTCCTATCCCAGCCGCCACTTCTGTTATTCCTGCAGCTGCCGCCGCCGTCTCTTCCGGCTGCATCATAACCATTTCCCTGCATCTGACGCCCGTATTCAGGTTTAGTCCGACTGCTCCCGCTCCAACGGGAACCACCGGTGTTCCCGCCAAAACTCTCCCTCTCAGTGGGCGGACCCGACGGTGTCGGCGCGTCGGAAACTGCGCTGTTGCGGAGGTGGGGAGGGACATAAGTGGGTCGACTTGGACGAGGTACGGGATTGTTGTTTGAAACAACAGTTTCAGATGCAGAATCTGCCCATGAAGTTCTCATAATTTCCCAAACCTGATAAAAACCCAGAAAAGAAAAGAAAAATCCTAACAAAAAACCCAGTCAAACCCAAATTAAAAAAAAACTAAAACCCAGATTTTGAAATCCTCTAAAATGCCTTCTTGGCCACTCGATTTTCCGAAAGATCTCACTTAATCAAACAAAGAGAAAATCCAATTAATATAAGCAAAAAAATCCCCAAAAAAATGGGAAAACAAGTAAGATTAGATTCTTGGTTGTCTCTTCTCTTCTCTTTTTATTTTCTTTGGATTTTCTAAGGCCTTGGATTGCAGCTCAGGAAAAACGAGAGAGTGTGAGAAAAAATCTACGAATCTTGGGTCGGTGACCGTACAATACGGGGGGCTTCCCTTCAAATTAAAATCATTACCCTCCATAACGGACCGTTGCCATTTGCCGCCTTAAATATATACATAAGATAATAATAAGATTGATTTTTGATCAAATAATAATAAGATTGTTAAAACTATGGTATTATTATTATTACGACGTATGTTTTATCTCGATTGAGTTAATTCACTATACGTCTTTAAATTATGATTTGGATTCTATATTGGTCACCAAATTATAATCATTCTAATCAAGTATTTAAATCATTAATATTATTTCAATCAAGTTTTTTTATCAGTTTAATCATTAATTTGGACATTAATAGGTTAATTTAGATCTAATGTAAAACATAACTAGAATACGTGAATTAAATTTTATTGATATGAACACGTTGAGTGATGTCAGTAGTAAAAATAAATGTTGTTTTTCATAAAGAATTCAAATTCGAACAACTGTACCTACAGAATGCACGCGTTGTCAACAGACTACAAAAAAATTTAAATATATATTATTTTATAATCATCACATACTATATCATAAATTCAAGATGATATTTAATTTTACAGTCTGCAAGTGATTCCTCAGCAACAAAAAAGAAAATTACCACAAGTTGGGAGCATGTCAAGGCTTTTAACTACAACTCTAGATCTATTTAAGACTCCAAGAATTAAAGTAAAATGTAAGCTCGGTTTAGGGAATTAACCTCGTGAAAGAAACGATTACACTCTAGCAAGTCACTCAGAATGATATGATCTCGATTATGAGTTTCGAGTCATGTATATGAATCCCCTTTAATCATATCAAATTTACAGATTGTGGTAAGTTATTTGTAAATAAAATGAGAAAACTCACGGTTAGTTGCCACCGAAGCGAACGTAAGTGCCTTCAATTGGTGGATGAATCGTTTATTTTTAACGACAAGTGACTACATTGAAATTGAAAGCATAGTAGTCATATAAACACTAACCTTATAATTAAGTGATCATTTGACTAATTTGCTCTAATATTACCGCGTGAATGAGATTTCATTGTCAAACTAGTGGGCAGAGAGCCAAAGGACCGTTTCTTTTAAAGCTTATTATGTCGTCTTCTTGACCTTTGTTTTTATTATTGTACGAAACCAGCCAGAGATATTGGTTTGGTTGGTGAAATGACTATTTCGTGTCCATTTAAAATTAAATATTAATAGTGATAGAAATATAATACTATTAAAAAATATATAAAGATTTATTAAATATTTAAATTTAAAATTCAAAACGAATAATCTTAGTGATTAAGAAGTTTGTTGTTATTCTCGAGGTCTCGAGTTCAAGCACTGTGTATGTAGGGATATAAGCGTTCATTGTTAAATAATTGAAAGACTTTGTACATATATTACCTTATATTTACCTTAAATTTATAATAAAAAACTCAAAATTCAGGAGATAACTTATAATTTGTCTAATATTTAAACTTACAATTACTTAAATTGTAATTAGACTAAAAATCATTCTTTAGTTCGACTACTACATGATTAAATATTTAATAAGTTTTTATATTTTTTAAATTTAAATATTTATTTTTATATGAACCAAAATACTATTAAACAAAATTATATCAAATATAAAAATTTTAACAATGACCGAGCCCCCTTGATCCCTAAGAAACCGAGCCCCCTTGAACCCTAAGGAAGCTCCGTCCCTGATGTTCATCCAATCCAATACATAAATTCATGATTTCAAATAATTATTATATATGATATTTTATTGGATGAGAATACTATTAAAGAAGAGTTGATTTTTCATTCGTCTATTTTAAATATTATTTAAGTTTTCTTATATGATTGATGTTTAGGGATTTTGAAGTAATATTTTTATACTTCGTTACCTTAACTATTAACGTTTTTATTTATTATACTGTCACTAATCACTCATTGTTATATTTTATTTATAATTGTCTTAAACGTATATATAGTATTATTCCACATAATATTTATAATTGTCACTAATCACTCATTGTTATATTTTTATATTTTAATTATGTAATTTGAATTTTTAAATTTTATGGGAGGAATATGTATTATAGACTTTTAAAATTTCAATTATATATTTTTATGTAATTTTTTAAAATAATATAATTTAAAGGAAAAAAAAATATGAACAGAGGTCTTTATGTGTAAATCCAACATTATGATAGCCCCCTGCCTGCTGCGTTAAATAGTTCATTACTTGTGATGTGCCAACACCGACCTCTTTCAATGTTGTTGCCTCATCGATATCAGCCTTACTTACAGCTCTATTAGAACGCATAAATGGTGTCATAGCAGATGTGCACAATGCATGATTATGTTTCTGATCAGACTTACTTATAACCCACTGATCGTTTGTATTTGTTGCTGTAACTACGACTCTAGCCTTACATCCTGTTCTTGTGACTGGCGTATGAGCACGTTGACGATCAACAGTATTGACTTTTGATACTCGAAACCCTTCTTTGGAACAACAAAATTCTTGTGTCTTCACATTCCCTTCCACGTCAAGCCGTGTTGTTCCCTTACGTGCACTAAACCCATGTTCCCGTGCGAATCCCTTGTAAAAGTGCCAAGCTTGATCACGTGAACAGAAGAGCTGACCAACCAATCTGTCAGATTCATCAACATTATGTACTTCATGGCATTCCTCGGTTGGCTTAACATTGTCTACATCAGTATTATCCATGGCAAAAATTTTGTTGTGCAAGTTGAGTGCTCCAGGAGTTGATGGAGATGTAAACAAAGGTTCATTTTGAACATGTTTCTGTCGTGCTGCTTTCAATAGGATGTGACATTGGTAGTGGTAGTTAAAGGGTGGGTACAACATTAAATTCGCAGTACATATTTAGGTATGTACAATAACTACAAGTATATTATCATTAAATTTAGGTATGTACAATAACTACATATTTAAGTATGTTTGTTAACTACATATTTAGGTATATACATCTTTTGAGTGAGTTTTAAGATATTAATTTAGTAATTATAGGCGTCTAATGATTTATTTTTTTACGTTACGATATATATTATTATTAAATTAAAAATTCTAAATATTATTTTATAAAATATCAAAACAATCAAATAATTTTTTGTGCAAATGAAATTATTAAATTAATATTATAGGTGGAAAACATGAAACACTATTAAAAAAATTGAAACATAAATTACATAACTTTAAAAGAAGTATCGATCCTTTTTATAAAAAGTATGGACACTTTCAATATAATATAATGTAATAGGTAAATTTGCAATGCTATCGGTATAAATATACCGGTTTACTTATAAAATAGGTAAATATAAGCGCTACCTATTACATTATATAAGTGCTACCTAGTATGTTATTGTACTTTATAATATTTCCGGTTAAATAATATAACATAACCGGTCTAAATTTTAACCGGTCACTTGTTTAACCGATCACGCCGTATATTAGCCGTTTTTTACCGCATAAATGTGGCCACATATATTTTGATTTTTCATTAATTCCTTTTCTACTTTTGAGACCAAAGGGCCTACTTTTATGTCTTCTTCTCAGGCCGAAGACCCTACTTTGCTTTAATCATCGAGCCACTTGCTTGAATTATTGAAAATATTTACAATATTTTCAATCATAAATGTAAAATATTTATAAAAATAGAACAATATAACACATGCTCTAATTGCTGATAAATATGATCAATCAATTGGTCATATTGTTGAATCATTGACTATTAAAAGTTATAAAATGGTCTAATATGTTGACTTTTAATAGTTGAGAGACTCAACAAAGAAACTCCCCATAATTGATAGATCATTTTATAAATTTTAATAGTCTAAGGATTCAATAAAGTAATATCTTATAGTCGGAATCATTTGTGTACTTTATCATTTTTTTTATTTTTTTAATGATTAAATGGAATTATCTGACATGTCAAAGTTAATGTTAATTTTTTAACGGTGAGTGACGTAAATGAGACCAAAATGTAACGTTATTATTTTTAAAAAATATAGTTGAATGACTAAAAAAGAACAAGAATGATAGTTGGGTGACTAAATATATAGTTTACCATTTTTTAATATTAAACAACCTTTTTAGTGGAGTTGTATCTATAAAATACTACACACTCCACTTGTATTAACACCTGCATTTTCATTTCATTTCATCTCATCTCCTCTTGCAAGTAATCAAACACTTTAGCCTTCGTTTGTGTTTCAACCAGCAATGGCCGAAGGAATCGCCTTTGAGATCGCCGGATGGCTCATTTGTGAACTGAGCTCCCATGTTATGGAGCAACTTGGCTTGTGGTGGAATTTCAAAGACGACCTCGACGACCTCAAAAGCACCTTCTCCGATATCAAAGACGTGCTTCTCGACGCGGAAAAGCAGTCCGTGACCAGAGAAAGCGTCAAAAAATGGCTTGCAAAGCTGAAAGATGCTATGTACGACGTTGACGACATGCTGGATGATGTCCGTACCGAAGCCTTGCGGAAGAATCTGATGAGTGGGAACAAGTTCACCAAAGAGGTACGCGTTTGCTTCTCGAGATCGAACCCGTTTATTTATGGTCTCAAAATGGGACGAAAAATCAAGGCCATCAAGGCCAGATTTACTTCCATTCAAAGTCAGGCCAACATGTTGAACTTGGTTCAGCGTGACCATCCTGTGGAAACCTCTTTCATGGACAAAAGGAGGCAGCAATCGCACTCTTTTGTTTCGAAAGGCGAAATTATTGGGAGGGACGATGACAAAGCAGCTCTTCTAAGACTCTTGTTGGAGTTTCAAAGTGAAGAGAATGTTTATGTCATTCCGATTGTGGGGATCGGAGGCTTAGGCAAGACTGCGTTGGCGCAGTTGGTCTATAACGACGAAATGGTTAAAAACCACTTCGAGTTAAGGATTTGGGTCTGTGTTTCTGATGTTTTTTATGTGAGAACAATTGTGGAAAACATCATTAAATCTGTAACTGATCAAGAACCTGGTAAAAATCTCGAAATGGATCAACTGCAAAAACAACTTCGGGACAAAATTGACGGGAAAAAATATTTGCTTGTCTTAGATGACATTTGGAATGAGGAGAGGGAACTATGGATTAGCTTAAAGAAGTTACTGATGGGTGGAGCCAAAGGAAGTAGGATAATCGTAACTACTCGCTCTACGAGGGTAGCTAAGGTTACTAGTAAATGTCAGCCACATGTTCTGAGAGGCTTGTCTGATGATGATGCATGGTTTTTGTTCAAAGAAATAGCATTTGAACAAGGATCTGCAGATTCGACAAATTCAGGCTTTGTGGAAATAGGAAAGCAGATTTTGGAAAGGTGTCATGGAGTTCCCTTGGTTATAAGGACTATAGCTAGTACCTTATCTTTTAAAGAAACTGAAACTGAGTGGCTTTCTTTCAAAGATAATGAACTTGCTAGAATATCTCAAAGAGACGGTGAGATTTTGCCTACACTTAGGTTGAGTTATGATCATCTCCCATCTCAGTTGAAGCATTGCTTTGCTTATTGCAGACTGTACCCAAAAGATCATGAATTTGATGTGCAAATACTTGTTCGAATGTGGATTGCACTAGGGTTTGTAAAACAATCAAATTTGAGTCGATCTCTTGAAGAGATTGGGTTCGAGTATTTTAAATGTCTGGTTGAAAGAAGTTTCTTTCAAGAGGTAGAAGAAGATGAACGTCGGGGTGTAACATGTAAAATGCATGATTTGATGCATGATCTTGCTGAATCGGTAGCAGGGATGGAGAGCTGCATTCTAGATTCAAATTCAAATTCAATTACAAGTGAGATTGATGAGAAATGTCGTCACGTATCGATTGATTTTTCATTGATTCATTTGATCAAGGGAAAGAAATTGCGGAGTTTGTTAAAATTTTCAAGCAGAGATGAATGTATGAATGATGCAAATTGGGATTTAATAATTTCAAATGGTAGATGCTTGCATGTTTTAGAATTATATAAATTAGAACTTGATACAGTCCCACGTTCCATTCATAAGTTGAAACATTTGAGGTACCTTGATCTGTCATTCAATTATCATCTTAAGATCCTTCCAAAGAGTATTTGCAAGATACAAAATTTGCAAGTGCTGAAACTTGATTTTTGTCGCCTACTTAAATTGCCAAAGAAGATTGAAAACTTGGTGAACCTTACCCATCTTCCGTGTGCTCATTGTGCCTTAACTCATATGCCACGTGGAATAGGGAAGCTGACTTCGCTTCAGACGTTAAGCATGTTTGTTGTGGATAAAGACGGTTCCCATGGTGCTGCTGCTGCGGATCTAAGTGAATTGAGTCAGCTCAACAACCTGAGGGGAGAGCTAACAATAAGAAATTTGGGATTCGTGAAAAATGCAAGAGAGAAGTTTAAAGCTGCTAATTTGAAAGGGAAGCAACATCTACGAGAACTGAATTTAGAATGGAGCGGAGATAGTGAAGATGAAGAGAAGTCACTTGAAGACCTCCAGCCCCATCCTAATCTGAGGGAGCTCCTCGTGATAGGATGGAGGGGCGATGCCAAGTTCCCAAGTTGGATTTCTTTGCTCACGCATCTGGTGGATATTAAAATATGGGGTCCCAGTAAATTTAAACATCTCCGTTCCTTTTCTCGATTGCCACATCTTCAACTGCTTATCATTTTTAATCTATCTGAGCTGGAGTCCATGGACGGCAGTGAGCCCAGTGGAGGACAAGATGAATCAGAATCATTCTTCCCGTCGCTTAAGCGTCTTCACCTCAAGGAATGCCCAAATATGAAGAGTTGGTGGAGGAAAAGCCCGATCGACGATGATAAGGATGACGACAAGGATAGAAGAGCATCAACCATGGCATTTCCTTGTCTCTCCTATTTACGCATTGAAAATTGCCCTTTGAGTTCAATGCCCTTGTATCCATCAGTCGAAGATGAGCTAATCTTGGTGAATACCAGTTCAAGGCCATTAAAGCATACCATTCAAATGAGCGACACTACACCGTCAACCTCATCTCTCCCTCTCTCCAAATTGAAATATTTCAAAGTGGGGAATATTCATGAAGAACTGGACTACGACATGCTAAACGAATTCCTGCAAAAGATGACTTCTCTTGAGCATCTGGAGATTATTGAACTTCCACAGCTGGCGTCTCTTCCCCTTTGCCTCCAGCATCTTGTTCAGTTGAAAAAACTAGAAATCAAGAATTGCAGTGGATTGAGGTCACTCTTTCCTGGATTCCAACATCTAACAAATCTAAAAGAGCTTCGTCTAGTAGATTTGCCGAATTTAACATCGCTTCCGTACGAGATGCATGGCCTAACCAGTTTGGAAGAGTTGGATATACTAAATGTGCCCCAGTTGGAGGAAAGATGTAGGAAGGACAGTGGTGCCGATTGGCATAAGATTGCTCACATCCCACTCATTCTGGTGAATAAGGTAGGTGCCCTCCAATCCTTTGAATCATTCATCCACTTTTACAACATTATATTGTGTTTTCTATCATCAAGCTGCGATTATATCTCTTACTTGTTTTCTATCTTCAGGTTACGGTGCAAGACCTACTGGAGGGCAGTTGAGTATTTATGTGAATTTATAAGCAGAGAAACAGGAGGTAGTTCATCAAATTGCTTTTTAAACGTTTAAAGCATAATAATTAACTGCAATCATCTAATAATGAATGCTCCTTTTTGTCAGCATGAAAGATAATACATTCCTCAGCATTCGACTCCCAATTTTCGTCACTGAAGCACAGGCCCTCAAAGGTAATCATTATCACCCAATCCTCTACTTTTCATAATCCAAAACTATGTATCACATCATGTAATTACAATGAATTATAATTTTATAAAAATGTAATTATTATTTTTTAATGTAATAATGAGATGGAAGTCAAAACATTAACTCTTACACGAATATGAGGAGATTCATGAATGTTTTTATCCAAAATATAGATCAAAATATCCGAATGTAGTCCAAAATAAAGAGGGAAACATCATATGCTATAGTCATGAAGTTGGCAGCTTCGTTTACCTCACGTATGATTAATTGAAACTTAACGCTCTAAGCTTTGTTATTAAGATAAACGATGGCACATACTAGAGAGTAAAAACTGAAAAAAGATGGTAACAGAAACTTATAAGCATCGTTTACCTCATGTTTGATCAATCAAAACTCAATGCTCCAAGTTAATAGTAGGGATGTGATTAGCATCATTGAAATGATTAAATGATCTAATTAACCAAATTAAAAGATTGATGGTCAGATTAGAATTATCCGTTAGTTAAGTGGTTACAAATGTAATTTACCCTGAACATTAAACATGTAGATTTTCAAAACCACCCTGCCTTGTTCGATTTTTCCGAAGAAACTGAACATCGGCAACAACAAAGGTAGTGGAGATCAAACGATTTGCTTGAATATGAAGTACTTGGTCAGATTCCATCACTTTCATTCACAATCTGGGATTCTCCTCCATTTCTCGAGACATAAGCCTCTCGCTCTTCATTTTTCATCACTCTCCAAATCATCAAAACAAACGAAGAAAGCCCAACAAGCTGAAACTTGTAGAATCCCATCACTCTTCCAGGAAATAACTGATATTTTAGGATCTGTTAATGTTACTCCAGATGAAACCAAATCTGGGTTTTCAATAACTCCACGAAACACAGCCAGTGAGCTTGAGTTTATAGAACAATCGTTGTCTAGAAGGCCGGGGTGTTTGTCAAAATGCCCAGCAGAGGAGTGAATTGGTGGAAAAGGAGCGAAATGAAATAAATGAAATTTTTGGAGCTGTTAAAGTAACCTCAGGTGATATCCCATCTGGGTTTTCAGTTACCCCACGAACCAATGCCAGGGAGTCAGAGTTTATAAAACAATCGTCGTCTGGCAGGCCAGATGTTTATCAAAATGCCCAGGAGAAGAGTGAATTGGTGGGAACAGAGGAGAATGTAACGGCTTTGGATGATACCCGGATGGGGAATTCAGTCGAATTCGATGTTAGTCCAGTGGTTCATGAGATAACTATGATAGTTAGAGCTGGAAACGCCTCGATTTCCATGGAGGAACAATTAGATAAATCAGGGTTTTCTTTTGAACCTGAAGTTTTCAATACCAAGTAATTTAGGTTGGGTTTAGAATGTTTCACTAACCTCAAATAACCATTACATTTTAATTTCTTAAATTATTTGACCGTAACAATCTAAATTATTTCTCAAGTTATTTCTTTTAACTTTAAAATATTTTATATTTAATGTAATTCATTAATTTTATTTTTAATAAGTTTTATATTTTAATTATGTAATTTGAATTTTTAAATTTTATGGGAGGAATATGTATTATAGACTTTTAAAATTTCAATTATATATTTTTATGTAATTTTTTAAAGTAATATAATTTAAAGAAAAAAAAATATGAACAGAGTACCGGTGATACGAAAATGCGGGTACTCAAATTTACGGGTACTCGAGCTTAACGGGCCGGGACACGAGCCGACACTTTGGCAACCTGTACCCATAAATGTGGCCACCTATATTTTGATTTTTCATTAATTCCTTTGCATAACTGAAACAAGTTGCGAACTTTGTTTAAAATCTCAAACAAGAAAGTTTAAAATATGTACGAGGCTCCATTGAAAAGCTTTCAAACAAAGTTTATATCAAGAATGATTATTTAATCGAATCGAGCTAAATAATTTTTATGAGTTAATTAACTTGAAAAATTCAGTTTTTTTATTCAAATTTTATTAAAAGACAAATCAAATTTATAAAATTTAAGTGGATTCTAATTATTCAAATTTAATCGAATAGTAAAAGTCGTTGAGGAGAAATATCTTGCTCGTTAGGCCAATTTTGACTTTTGAGACGAAAGGGCCTACTTTGATTTAATAAGAGACTTTGCTCCTATCGTTGAAAGCTTTTATGTCTTCTTCTCAGGCCGAAGACCCTACTTTGCTTTAGTCCTCGAGCCACTTGCTTGAATTATTGAAAATATTTACATGATAGAAAGGGGAGACAAGAAATATATAGAACAATATAACACTTGCTCTAATTGCTGATAAATATTATCAATCAATTGGTGATATTGTTGAATCCATTTACTATTAAAAGTTAAAAAATGATCAACCGACTATTTATTATATTCTAAACTTATCATTTTCGGTTAAAAATTTGACGACGGTTTAAGTCGTACGTTAACCTGCTGACTGAGATAAGATAAAATCTGATCATATCTTAGTTAACATGTTAACGTCAAACTCATACGTCTGTTAACTTTTTAATGGAAAAGGACGAGTGTAGAACATAATGAACATTCGAGTGACCATTTTGTAACTTTTAATAGCTGAGAGACTCAACAAAGCAACTCCCCATAGTCGATGAACCATTTTATAACTTTTAATAATCTAAGGCCTCAATAAAGTAATATCTTATAGTCAGAATCATTTGTGTACTTTATCATTTTTTTTATTTTTTCAATGATTAAATGGAATTATCTGACATGTCAAAGTTACTGTTAATTTTTTAACGGTGAGTGACGTAAATGAGACTAAAATGTAACGTTAGTGATTATTTTTAAAAAATATAGTTGAATGACTAAAAAAGAACAAGAGTGATAGTTGGGTGACTAAATATATAGTTTACCATTTTTTAATATTAAACAACCTTTTTAGTGGGAGAAAATCGCCTCAGTGACCAAAAAAAAGTTATAATATACGATTTTAACCAACTTTTTTTGGATTTGCCAAAATGACCAACAAAATCGCAACGCGAAATAAAAATCGCAACGCGATCCCCAGAATCGCAAATCAGTTTCCAAAATCGCAACGCGATTCTTGAAAATCGCAATGCGATAGTACAAATTCGCATTGCGATTTTCCAAAATCGCAACGCGAATATCAAAATCGCAACGCGAACACATAAATCGCAACGCGTATCCGTAAATCGCAACGTGTATCCGTATATCGCAACGCGTATCCGTAAATCGCAACGCGATATTTAAAGCGCCATTATAATCGCTACGCGTATTTTATTTTCAAATTACAAAAACCAATATTAAGACAAAATCCCGTAATCGCAACTCATAACCTAAAACCTAAAATCACAACTCAGTCCCATCTCCATCTCTCACTCTCTACGGCGAAGAAATCCGTCCCCATCTCCGAAGATTTCCGTCCCCATCTCCGGCGAAATCCCTCACAACCATTCACGGTCAGAAATCCCTCACAATATTCAGAAATGGAAAATCAACCTCCGAGGGTTAGTTTTTTTAATTATTTTTATTTTGAAATGTTTGCATTATTGTAGGTTTTTCATATTGAAACTGATGATAAGTTTACTGGTCATTTCAATAATAGATTAACCATTTCACTTAGATTTCATTTCGCGTTACGATTCTGTCGTTGCGATTTTCATTTCGCGTTGCTATTCTCTCGTTGCGATTTTCAAGTTAGTATTTGTCTTTGTCTTTGTTCTGTCTTTTGGTTGAAGTAATGCAATCCATTCAAGTTTCAATTTGCAGAAGAGTCGCAACGAGATAAATGAAAATCGCAACGAGAGAATGACTGTCGCAACGAGAGAAATGAAAATCGCAACGAGAGAATCGCAACGCGATATGAAAATCGCAACGAGAGAATCGCAACGCGAAACCAAAATCGCATTGCGATTTTCATTTCGCGTTGCGATTCTCTCGTTGCGATTTTCATTTCGCGTTGCGATTCTCTAGTTGCGATTTTCATTTCGCGTTGCGATTCTCTCGTTGCGATTTTCATTTCAACCAAAAGACAAAACAGTGTTGCAAATTTTAGTTTCAAGAATAAACTACTACTTTTTATGTTTATTGTTTTTGGTATATCTTCACAGTGTAGTTTTTGGTATATCTAACTTGGTGTGTTTATTGTTTTTGTAGAAATTTTTTTCGGCTCAATTGACCTTGAGAAATAAAGTCAGCCTGGCCACTACAATTGCTTCGAAGCTTTCACCTGCTCAAAGACAATTGTTTGAGGAAACCTGCTTCGGGCCATGGCTGAGAGTACAACATCCGGGTGGAGATGCTAATTTGACCCATTTGTGGCTTCAGACCATGACATCAAATCTACCCGACAGTATACAACGTGGTGAGGAAGAGATATGGTTTCATTTTCCACCAGCGTATACTTGTTTTGGGCGGAAGGAGTTCTGCTTAATCACTGGTCTACGATTCGGACACGATGATGTAGGCCGGTACACTCGTCATATCGCCCGCCCATCATGGTTATCCCGGGTTTTTCCGGATGAGTCAATGGAGAAGCCGAACCTACATGTCGACGACCTGAAGAAATTGTTTAATAAGAAAGCTGGTTTCACTCGGATGGATGACGTCGATGTTGTCCGAGTATGCCTTCTACTACTTGTGTATGCCGGCTTTTTAGGCAGAGAGGCCAGACAACCTATTCATCGGGAGCTAATAATATTGGTAGAGGACCTGAATGCATGGAATCTGTTTCCGTGGGGTTCGTATATATGGAAAGCTACCTGGACTAAGTTGTCGTCTGCCTTTGATGACCGCAAAAGTTTGCGGGGCGATGGGTCCAAATACACTTTGTCAGGCTTTGTTTGGGCCTTTAAGGTAAGAATTTCTATATAATGTTTCTAAAATTATAATTAATTATTTAACAATTACTAATTTTGTTATTATATTGTTTGTAGATTTGGATATTCGAGGCTTTCCCCAGCATGCGTACATATGCAATAAAAACGTCAAATGATATTCCCAGGGCTATTTCCTGGAAGAGGAAAACTCTGTTGGATTGGGAAGACTTAATACCATATGCGACAATAAATAATGTAAGTTAACACAAATACTTTCATATAATATATAAACAAGTTATTAATAGTAGACGTTTAACTTTGTTTGAGTTTTTATATTTTAGGAGGCCAACATTCCATTACAAAGACTGACACCCACGGAGGAAGAGCTTGCCACTGATTGGTGGCAAGCTAGTCAGAGTTTTTTTTATGGCACGGATGATGAGCAGCATCCACTTCCTCCAATTCGAGAGCCATCACCTCACCTAGAGCCATCACCCGATCGACCCGACTATACACCTCTAGAACGAGAGCCATCACCTATCCCGTCACATCATCGAGCCTCTTCTCCACCATCACCTCATGATAGGCGACCGGCAAAGATGCCACGACTCCTATCTCCCTGTTCTCCACCTCCACCTCAACGGGATGAGTCAAGGGAGTTACGTGATGAGGTCAATGCCTTGCGTGAGGAGATCGGTACTCTACGCGATAACGATGGTGCATGGCGTGTGGAGGTGTCAACTTTACGTGGTGAGGTTGCCGCTCTACGTGAGATGATAGTATCGTTGCAGAATGAGGTTCATACTCTACGCAACGAGGTAAGTTTAAGATTTTCCATATTTAACTTAATGATAAATTTACTCGTAATTTCACTTAGATTAGCCATTTCACTTAGATTGCTTAGTAAATTTATTCGGTTGCTGCCAATTCTGCTAAACTGTGTATTCTTTAACACTGTGAAATAGTATTTGTCTTTGTTTTGTCTTTTGGTTGAAAGTAAATTTGTTCGGTTGCTGCCAATTCTGCTAAACTGTGTATTCTTTAACACTGTGAAATAGTATTTGTCTTTGTTTTGTCTTTTGGTTGAAAGTAAATTTGTTCGGTTGCTGCCAATTCTGCTAAACTGTGTATTCTTTAACACTGTGAAATAGTATTTGTTTTTGTTTTGTCTTTTGGTTGAAAGTAAATTTGTTCGGTTGCTGCCAATTCTGCTAAACTGTGTATTCTTTAACACTGTGAAATAGTATTTGTCTTTGTTTTGTCTTTTGGTTGAAAGTAAATTTGTTCGGTTGCTGCCAATTCTGCTAAACTGTGTATTCTTTAACACTGTGAAATAGTATTTGTCTTTGTTTTGTCTTTTGGTTGAAGTAATGCAATCCATTCAAGTTTCAATTTGCAGAAGAAGAAATAGTTTACTTTCGCAACACGAAACTTAAAATCGCAACGCGAAACCAAAATCGCAACGCGAAATGAAAATCGCAACGACAGAATCGCAACGCGAAACCAAAATCGCAACGACAAGATCGCAACGCGAAACCAAAATCGCATTGCGATTT